GTGCACTGGGAAAACATCCCCTAAGCCCAGACAGCATCGTCCAGGCTGTCAAGAGCTCTGTGGAGTCGCTCCTCCAGCCTTTGGCACAGTTGTAGTTCAGTGTGTCAGGGACTGAGTGTTGCAGCTGGAGCTGTGCAATTAAACTTGTGCCATCCCTCAGTGCTCCTCCCATTCCTGCTTTGACAGCTCAGTACCGGCTGTAGTAGCACTAGCTAGTACTAGCTAGTCTCTGACAAGCTTTTGCCCACAAACCACATGGAACTTCCCAGAAGGACTGCAATAATAATATTGAACTGCTCTTTGTTCTTTGTGCAGGACAAAAGAGAGCTCCCAAAGTAAGAATTAACTCCTCGCTGCTCTGCCTGCAGCTCCCTTCCTCACTATGCATGCATATCCCCGTCCTTAGGGTAGGAAGTACTGCCCAAAGACTGAGCCACACCGTGCTATTCGGTATCCTGAGCCTTCAGAGTGAAAGGATTTTAGAAATAAACAGGTGTCTGGTTTTCAGTGTTATACCTTCTCTGGACTCACTGGAGTTACCCTGGCAGAGAAACTGGCCTCCCAGGAGGAGGGTGTACCCCTAGCTAGCCATGTTAGGTGGCCAGTAACTGAGGAGGCAAGGAAGGCACCATCTGACAGTGTTTTGTTCACTGAGGGGTCTCTTGGACCTTCTCATCCAGCAGCCTCAGGTAGGAGACCTTTGGGTCTTATTCTGAATGGGAATTTCTGTAGGAGTAGGAGTGTTGGACTGTTGCTAGAACTGAACTGTGGATGCACAACACTTGGGTTTAATGAGGTCTGCCTTGGAGTATGGAGATTGGATGCAGGTGTAACACTGTTTCTCACACACCTTGGTGTCAAAAGACTTACACAAATCTCACACCTCAAAACAATGCACCTGATGCTTCAGGACACTTCACAGCAACCTGGGCCCTTTTGCAGAGCAGGCTGTGTCAAGAGCAATTCACTGCTGAATTGACAACGCTGGAGAATATTCTCCAGGCTGAGAATCCTGTGCTGTTTAAAGGGAAATTTGAGAAGGAGGTAATGAGGTGAGTTTTGTAAGCTTGGGTGCAATAGGAAGTGCCTGACTGTGGGACAAATCTTTTGCTGTGTTACACATCATGAGTTACCTGTGCAGTGTTTAGGGGCAGCTCTGGCAGTCACAGCACATAGGGAGCATCTGAAGCAGTTACACAGAGCAGTCACGACTCCCTTTCTTATAGAGACTTCTAAACTGTATCACTGCAATATGCAAGTGTTGGTCGAGAAACCAAACACCTTCCCCTGCTTGTGTGTACAGCTGGGGTGGTGGTTGCTGCTGCTTACTGAGCAAAGAAAATTGGCAACCCCTGGTCTGCAGCACAAACCAGGGCCACGCTCTAATCAGGTCTGTGGGGTTTTGAGAGGGCAGGCACATTTCAGACCTTTGAAGTGTGTGAAAGAGGTAGTTGTACCCCTCTTGGTACCTTGCAGGACAGAGTGCCTGGGTGTGTGCAGGTGCCCATAACCAAAGACCAGTGGGAATTGCATGGGGATCTCTCAGATGGAGAGCTCTGACCCACCTGAAGGAGCAGCTGCACTGATGCTCTCACCAGTTCCCTGGGGGAAACCCTCTTTGTAGATCTGGTGAGGACACTGCAAAACATGGAACAGCTGGTGTGAACCCAGCAGTTGATGTTCCAGCTGATTCTTGGTGCCCGGTGTGTAACCACGGGATGGATTTACATCCTTGCCAGCAACCACACCTGACCCGTGGCTGCCTTCTGCTGAGGAGACCTGGGCCTGCTTTTTCTCTTGGCTGTACTTGGGCACATGTGGCTGATCTCGCTGTGCTGGGCTGTCACCCACAGGCTCGTGGCAGTGCTCTTCTCATGGAGGCATCGTGGATAACTGCCCAGGTCTTCCTAGAGTGCACTAACATCGTCAGCATGATCAGGCAGTTGTCAACATGCAAACGTGGCTGATGAGTTTTTGCGTTGTGTAAAAGGCTACTTGTATAACTATGTCAGAGTAACATGTTGAGCTCCTGTTACAAAACCATAATTACATTTCTGTTGTAGATGCAGGTTTTGCAAAATTGGGGCAGGATTATTCCATTGATTACCTGATGGGACCTGTTCGACGAGGCTGTTCCCACACTCCTTCCAACACAAAGATCGAGCCTGTGCTTATGCAAAATAGATTTCTTTGTGTGTAGTTTGTTTCTTGATGTATTTCTGTCCCAGTGTGGGTCCCAGTTACAGTGTGGAGCTCACTGTGCTGGAGTGCAGCCACACGGCTGCAGCTGGAGCCTGGCTTTTCATATACAGCAAGATTTAGGCTGTGCACACCATCAAGAGTTTAATACAAAGCAGCAATCAAACAATTCCTGCTTGTAAGTGCCAGCTCATGCCACAGGTGTGGTGGGAGCTGGTGCATGGTGAGATTTACAGTTTTATCATTGTATTAGTTAAACTTTGTGAAACGCAGCTTCATTCATGGTAGGGGCAAGGGTGGGAGCAGCCTCGGGAATCCGGCTGTCCCCTGAATCCCACTGCAGCTGAATCAGTGTGATGTTTGGTGCTGTCAGGAGCGTGGAAGAGCTCTCAGTATCTAGATGCGTATGTGTCGGGAGTGTGGGCTGAGGCACAGATTGTGTTCCTCACCTCAGAACTTGCATTGGCAGGACAAACACCAGCCTGAGCAGACACGGCTGTGGCGAATGAGGGCCTGTACTCGCTGCAGGACCAAATTTATCATCAGATTTTGTGCTTCAGGCTCCTGGTCAGATGATAATTTTTTTTTTTTTTTAAACCTACTGGTCCAGGTGTGTGTAGATTTCAGATTTTGTATTAGGTATGATTAAGAGGGAAGCAAAGGTAAAATGCCTTTTTGGCATGAGATGGAATGAGTCTATGTAGGGATTGCACAACAAATATGAAAACGTAGAGGAGACATGTAATAATTGGGGCTGCTGAGCCTTTAGATTTTGTTAGTATCACCCTTGTCCTGAAGACACCCTTTCCTGGCACAGTGCAGGTGGCAGAGCGGCTGCCGGAGGAGGTGACCTGGGTAATCGCTGGAGTGTGGGGAGGGAAGCGCTTCCTCTTCCAAACAAGCATGACTTTGTGCTCTCTGGTGCCTTGTCAAGGTCCTCCGGCCCGGGGTGAGATGGCAGCAGTGTAACCATGGCAGTGTTTGTCTCCGGTTTAATGACTCATCCTGGAGCATGTGATCACGTGTGCAGCCTCCCTGCTTCCCTTTGCCCTATTTCATCCAATCTTTTGATCTAGTTATATAACCAGGAGTCGAGAGGGGTGGGGGGAAGGAAACAGTGCTGAAGAATTGCAGGTAATGTGACTAAAATGTGTCTGTGGCTCAAATAGCAGAGCTGTTGTTTGGGAAGCCTGGGAAACTGGTTTTTTTCCCAGCACAGTTCTCTGTCTCCAAGTGAGCGTGATATTTGAGCTTGTACGTCTAAGGAGACATGGTGGGAGGACAGGACTCCAAGACCTTGGCTGTGGCAGGATAACTGCCCTGCTTGTAGCAGCAAACCTCTTGTCCTTTGTCTTCACATGCAACATAACTTTTCTTTCATTCATCATGAGATCCGTTTCATCCCATAAGCTGTGGATAACTGTTCTTCCAGTATGTGTAGGACTGGCAGAGACCAATGCTCACAGAAGTGTTTGAGCTGCTCTGCTGGTATTGGTCTATGGTGGGGTGAGCCCTGAAGTCCTAAGTGGGTTCTGACATAGACTTAGAGCAAATACTAGGGCTGGTCTGGTGAGGAAGTTTGCAAAGTTGGTGCTTTTGCCCAAGGTCTAAATCTAGTTCTTGTCATCTCAGTTTTAAGAGGTGATGCTCTTGGTAAGTTTAGGTTTATAGGCATATTAACATGAGAGCTGTAGGTGCAACGTGCTGCACTGAAGCATCCTTCGTTTTAGCTCCCAGCTTTTTTGAGAAGGGATGCTCTTTGTCTCCAGATCCCACGGAGTCACAATGAGATGTTTGTGGGTTCTGTATTGCTTCATCTGCCACATTCTTCTGCACTGATGTCTTCTTTCCTTCAGAGTTCTGTCTAAGTGTCATTTCAGTTCAGTCATTAACTCAGATACACAATGTAAGCAAGAAAGCTGATTACAAGATGAGACTCAGGGTATCTCTTTGCCTGACACAAGGGGACAAGATGCTTCAAAGAAACTATTACAATGCTTGTCAGAAACAGTTTGCTTCAAGGGAAGCTTTTGAACAGAAACGTTTCCTTTCTGTGCTCTGGAAGCATTAGCTTGGTCACTGGCAGCCTGTTGAAGAGCCAAGTGTCACATAGAACAAGGTGTCATTTCATATAATGCCTTAAGAGCGAGATAAAGCGCTAATGGAAGTCTGAAAGTGGGAGAATGAAGAGAAAAAAGAATGAGTGCGATTTATAATGTAGAAAGAGTATTGCCACTTCTTATTTTTAAAAAAGTTAGTTGGAAGTTACAATTGAAATCATGGGAGTGGAGCCTGGTGCTAAAACAACTGAGCTGCCCAGTGTTTGAACCAGATAACCTCTTACATGGTATGTTCTGTTAACTTGGAAGATGGTTATTACACAGGTGTCATAAATGGAAATTTCTGCCTTACTTGAACAACATGAAACAAAGATAAAGAGATTTAAGTTCCTTGTTTTAATCAGAACTCGTGTCCCTATAGAAACACAGACCCTTGGGACAGCAAGTGCTCCCTGTGGACTGAAATAATTTTGCCTTGTTTCTTGTCAGGACATTTTTGGGCTGTGTTGACTGGGTTTTACTGTCTTGGCTTTTACTGGAAACAGACCCTTCACCATAAAACTTTTTAACACTCTGTCTGGCTGTTGGAAAGGACCCAAATTCTGACCCTCAGAGAAACATGTTTCCAAATGAGAGAGAATCGGGATTGTCGGTTCCCACTCAGCTCAAATCCCGATCAATGCTCATGTACAAGCCAGGCTGGCCCAGCTGTTCTCATGTCATGGCCTTCTCCCCTGGCAGACCAACCCCGGGAAGGTGTGTTCAGTGGTGACCATGCTGAGCACGCGGAGGATGGAGAATGGCAGCGCTCGACTTCAACTACCTCATCTCCGAGTGAGCGGGCAGAGCAACTCTTGCAGAACCAGCACAAGAGCCTGGCCTCTGAGGACACCAAAAAGAAGAGGGCTCAGAAACCGTCTCACATGCGGAGGAACATAAGGTAAGGAGCAGCAGGACAGAGCTGGGGTCACATAGAGCCCTCTGGGTGAAATCAGAATCTCTGCACTTTGCTTCCGAGCTACATTTTGCCACTGCTGGCAAACCAGATGGTTTTTCTTTTCCAAAACCTTAGGATTTCACCAGTGGGAGTAGTATGATCTCAGACTGGAGTGCTGCATGTGGGTGCAGACTTGTTTGGTATTTCAGAAGAGGGAATATTTGGTTAGGGAATATATTGCAAAAGTTGTGTAATTGCTGCTGGCTTTTAAAAGATGTAATAGAAAAACAGTACCACCATTAAGTTAGTATCAGTTCCAGATATTTGCTGACGTGAATGCTATTGAAAACAACCTAAAACACAGTCTTTTACTGTACTATCCTGGGTATTCTTTAGCGAGAATGCTGATGCTACAACTGGTGATTGAAATGTTGGAATTCAGTTTCACCTGGATTATATAAAGCAGTAATAGTTTGATTGTGTAAGTCACCACATATTCTGGGACAAGTTGTCAAGTGGTAAATCACTATGAAATATTGTTCAAGGGGACTCTTAAATGCTCAGAGGAGCCCTAATGGAGCAGGAACTCAAGTGGCTTCTCTTACCCTGTGTGCAATGTGCTGGTGATCTCTGGTTCATATTTAAGTTTGTGCAGATTTTCTTAAAGCCAAAGGAATGAGCATTGAGTAGGCCTGGGGACGTCTCCTCCTATCTCCCCCTCCCTCGTTAGGATGGGGAAGATGCCCCTGAAGTGTGGGGTTGGGTGGTTCTGAAGGCTAGTTAGAGGGAGCTGGATTTTACCACTGCTTGTACAGCACCTCTCCCCTGGCAGAAGCACCTTCATTTCTAGTACTGCACTTGTGAAACTGAAGCAGAGGAAAAACAACATTTGGAAGTAAAGAAAACTACCTGTAAAGGGAAGGTGCTTGGAGAGCATCCCTTAAACCATTGTTAAAGCCATTAGAGGTCCTGGTTCCTGAAAATGCTATGTCAGAAGAGAATCAGGGTGATGACTTTTTGTGGTGGAATTGATGCCTTTTCTTCCCATGTATCTTCTTTGCATGGCTTTGTGCATTTTGTGTTTATAATAAACTGCATGTCAATAAAATACATCCTTTCAGATAGAAGAACTTTTCTCTGATAGCCTACTTGACATATGTGCTTACCCACTCCCAATTTTTCTCCTTTCTTTATTTTGCTTCTGTCAAACTTTTGTCGTTTTCTTGACTACTCGTAGCGTTACCAGTAGTTGGGAAGCACTGTCTTGAAATAACTCTATTTAGCTTTTGATGATGATGTTCCCAGTCTGTGTAGCTGACAGACTCCTGGAGCCTGTCAATCATCTTCTGAGCCAGCTGTGCAACCATTCAGGTTTTTGGGAGAAATTGTTTGAGTGTAACCAAATCACGTTTGCTCCCGTGTTCAGAAAGCTGTTGCGTGAGGACCAACTGGAAGCCGTGACAAAGGCAGCCCAGCAGGAAGAGTTGGAGAGGAGGAAACGGCTTGAGCAGCAGCGGAAGGATTATCCAGCCACTATTCCAACTGTACCCCTTGAGTTTCTTCCTGGTAAGCAGTGGGAGATGCCCACCAAAGCAGGAGTTTTAAGGATAGAAGCTGAATGAAGAAGGTAGTGCCGTGCTTGGCCATGGTAGGATAAAGGGGGTAATGGTTTTAAACAGAAAGAAAGTAGATTCAGGTAGATAAAAGGAAGAGGGTGATAAAACACTGACACAGGCTGTCCAGAGAGGTGGTAAATGCTCTGTCTCTGAAAACATTCAAGGTCAGGATGGATGTCCCTGCCCATGGCAGGAGGGTTGGACTAGATGGCCTTTGAAGGGTCCTTCCAACCCAAACCATTCTGTGTTTCTATGCTGTACTTGCACTTCAGAGTGTAAACTCTCGAAACAGAAGCTCCAAAGCACTTGTTGGTTCAGTTCTACTCATGAGCTGGTTTTGAATCAAGATGCTGTGGCTGCATGGTGAAAGGTGCCAGGAAGAAAATATCTTGTTGAAGATATTTTGACACATTATTTGTGTGGGGGGGACTCTGGAACAGAGGTCTCTGGTCTTTCCAGCTGGCTTGACAGATTGCTGTGTCCAGACCCTCTTTGTCCTGGGAATGATCTGTGCCGGGGTAGTGGAGCAATAGACTGGGAGCATGAATGTTCATGATGTAACCTTGCCCTTTCTTGCATGTTTCAGCAAGCAGTGAGTAGCAGGCAGTATAAATGGTTAAGCATCACTCTTGTCTTCTGGTGAATGTGTCATCTTGCATTGTTTCCTAATCTGGATCATTTTGGTGATCTAGTGATGACCAGCCTCTGTCTGGTGTAAAGGGCAAGGAAGTGTAGTTGGATGCTGTGTAAGGAGTCAGGAGTAAGGAGTTCTGAGTTGTTTTGCCTCTTGAGAAGATGCATATCCTCCCTTACATGCAAGTGTTTAAGATACTTTTACATAGAAGAGGAGGAATAAGGGGTGTTTAAAACACTTCAACTGTTGCAGGGTAGGTTGCAGCCCCAGAACATCATTGCTGAGTCACTGCAGTGGTGCTGTTTGGCCCCTTTAGCCTCTCTCCCCACATGGCAGCACTAAAACATACAAACAAATACTCTTGATCAGCAAAAGTTGTTTATGATACGTGGGATGTAATTATTACAGTGTCCCTACTAACAAAGGGCAGTTATCATCCCTTCAGTTCTTTGCTGGGTGAAACACAGCTTTTACTTTTGACACCAAAAAAAAAAGAGAGAAACAAAGGGCTTTAGCATGTTGCTTGGTCAGTGTGCCCCAGTCAGAGCATGAAACAGGGGGTGCCATCAGCAATGGGCTATTGTTTCAGCATATTGAGAAAGGAGCAGAGTGTGACCCAGGAAGCTGAGTCATAGCAGTATTGTAGACAGTGAGAGTCTGTTATGGAAAATTCCAGGACTAAGTTATTGGAGCAAAAGTGGAAGGAAATACTGTCTGGTTTCTGAGCAGTTTTGTCTCCTTCCTCATTACTATGAATTACTTATTGTTTGTGATTTATGTTTGTAGAGGACATCGTTTTCAGAACAGCAGAGGCGACCCAGCTCCCCCCTCAGGTCCTGGCTGAGGAAGTGATCTGCCTCGACAGTACCAGCAGCGGCAGTGAAGATGATGCTAAAGGAAAAAATAGCATTAAAGATGGTAAGTGACCAATTGGCTCAGCCTGGCCTTCTCACAGTATGCTGTTTATTCAGCCACAAGTCTGTTTTCATCTAGTCAGATGCTCCAGTGGTGAATCACTTCAGATTTTTGTAGGCCTATTGGTTTCCAATTATATGGGCAGTTCTGCTCTGTGAGTCCCAAAGTGACATTTATAAAATGGCCTGTCAGGCCCTCTTGTGAACTTGTGTTTATTTCTGCTTTATAAATGCACTTCACTTTGCCCAGTGCTCTGCTGGAGAATGCTTACGTGGGATGTGGCATCGTCTGCTTTGTATAAAAGGAGCATCTAAGTATTCAGACCTGCAGCTGAAAGTGGGTTTTGTGTCTCTTGTCCCAAATGGACCTAACCTGACTATTTTATACCACTCTGGTACAGTTCTTCTGCCCAATTTCCTTGGTGGTCCTTAGACATTGCATCAGTAGATAAAATGCATGCCTGGGTTTGGTTAAGAGGACATATGGAGGAGAATGGAAATCACTCATAGAAACTGTCTCACTTTCTGTTTGGATCAGCCCAAATTAATGTTGTTTGAAACACAGGAAAGCTCATTGAAAGTCGTGCTTTCATACGCTGATTTGAGAGGCCTGGTGTGTCTGTATCGTGCCTGCTTGTTCAGAGTGGGTCATTAGGCCAGTGTGGGATTGCAAAAGGTGGTGGTAGCCTTATTTCCTGATAGTTTTTTCTGTGTATGATAAACCCTGGTGTCAAGTTCACCTTTGCCCTTACTTTCTCCTGCTTTGGTTATTTACAGAAGTGATTGAGCTGAGCTCAGGAGAGGATGATGCCCTCCAAATTGTGGACAGCAGTGACTCTGGCAATGAAGGGGAGGAGGATGGCAGTGAAGAGAGCAGTGGCTCTCATGTGAATGATGCCTTAAATCAGTCAGATGCTCTGGGGCAAGTCATTGTCAACATCAATCATCCACCAAATGAAGAGGACATTTTCCTGGCTCCCCAGCTTGCACATGCAGTAAAACCTCATCAGGTAGGCTTTGTTAGTCTTGCAAATGCAGTGAGTTCAGGCAAAGCCTACCTTGCAATCTCAGGAGAATTTCTTTGGTGAGCTCTGTGACCAGTCTGGTTGTAGTAGTGACTGCTGTGGACATGCTGTGGACAGACAGACAAATTAAAGGGAGGCCAAAACTCTGTATAACTTTGGCTATTGTATTATCAGACTTTTGTATATTTAGATGAACTTTTTTAAAATAAAATTATATTTATAAACAAACTAATCAACCCCAATTCAGATTCTCTGGCTACAAATTAATTTTGATTTATTGTTATAGTCTTAGGACATTTTATGAGTATCTAAAAATACTAAGTTTCTGAGCCTTCCCCAGATTAGAGTACTTCAGTGAACTTGAAACCTCCCCTTTATATTTTAATGGTTTATGCAATCCTAATATAATTGCCACTCTGTAAAGACATACCCATCTTGTTGGTTTTTTTTCTCCCACCATTCTAATACCTTTTCTACTTTTCTGTCTAGATTGGTGGGATCCGATTCCTGTATGACAACTTGGTCGAGTCCTTGGAGAGATTTAAAACCAGCAGTGGGTTTGGGTGTATTTTAGCACATAGCATGGGCCTGGGCAAGACCATACAGGTCATCTCTTTCTTGGATGTACTTTTTCGGCACACGGAGGCAAAGACTGTTCTTGCCATTGTACCTGTGAGTAGCCACATGAAGGGCTGGCTGAGGGGCTTCTTTGCACTGCTTCTTTCTTTGCATAGAGAAGGTTGATTAGTGTCCCATCTCACATCAGGCTCTGTCATACCCTTGCTGTTCTTCTCCTTCTTTTATTCTCTGTCCCTGAGTTTGCATGCTGTGATCTGCTGCCTCTGTCTGGGCACAGCTGGGTGTCATTCCCTATTTTCATTTTTGATCTTAAACTCCCACATGACTCAGCTGGGTTTTTAATCCTTCCACGGCTGACTTTTTCAGGTGAATACGCTCCAAAACTGGTTAGCAGAGTTCAACATGTGGCTCCCAGCACTTGAAAACCTTCCTGCTGATTATAACTCCAAAGAGGTCCAGCCCCGCACCTTCAAAGTCCACATCCTGAATGATGAACACAAGTAGGTGCCAGGAAAAGTCTTTTTGAGCTCTTGAACTGTGTCTTAGGGAACTGTTACCAGAATTGGTGTTGCAGACTGTTCAGTTTGGGTTAATCCTGTGCCTTTGACTCCCAGATCTTTCCCACTCTGCATTTATTGTGGATGCTGTCTGAGGGGAGGATTTTGGTACCTGTGAGAGGTACCTCTCTCTTTCATCCAATATTTATATCTTGTACTTCCTTCTCACACTGCTGACACACCTTTCTGTTCTTCCATGTGTGCTGAGATCAGGAACCCAGTCCCAGAGACAGAACTGCCTCTGCAGAGAGGAGCAGAAGTGCTGTGGCTTGGTGGGACACTGTTAGTCCTGTCAGAGTCCTGGGGTTCCTGAGGCGTGTGCCCCTGTACCACGTTTCTTGTATTTTAAATGTGGGTTGTTTTTTTTTTTTCCTGAGATTTTTCACACATTTAGGGATTCCTCTACCTGACACTTTGACTTTGTGTGAATGGAGTTATCCTTGAAGGGTTCTGGCAAGATATACAAAGCCTCTTTGTCCAAAAAGGAGAGATCAGTGATTGCAGTTACAGCCTGGTGTGGAGTGGGTTCCTGGCTCATGGATCCCTGCTTCTTTCTGGGTTATTTTGTCATTCTCTACTGAGCTACCAGTGGCTTTTAAAAGGCTTTTTTTCCCTTTTATACCAGTTTGCTTCTTAAAGAAATTTCATTGTGTTCTTTTGTCTGGTTTGATGTGAGAAAAGTGCTTTAAATTAATTGAACGGGTCTTTTTTCTCAGCAGACTCCAATCCAGTGATTCAGTCTGAAGCTGGAGAAAGTCTGAAGTTTATTTGGTTGTTTTGCAGGACAACAGCTGCACGTGCAAAGGTGGTGAATGACTGGGTGACAGAAGGTGGTGTGCTGCTGATGGGATACGAGATGTATCGTCTCCTCTCACTGAAGAAGTCCTTTGCCACTGGTAGGAAGAAGAGAACAAAGAAACAAACTGGCCCTGTCATTATTGACTTGGATGAGGAAGACCGGCAGCAAGAGCTTCTGAAAGGTGGGAGGCCAACCCTCAAGAGGGAGGGTGTGATCCTGCTGTCCAGCTGGCCATCAGCAGTGGCAGCACAGGGAAACAACCTGTAACTTGCTTTTAGCATTGCTGGCGTGATCAAACCTTGCTGGGCAGGAGTGTGTCTTTGGAAGCAGAAGGTTGTTGAGCTTTGACTGAGTCTCTAATTTCTTGCAAGAGCTGCGAGTAAGCGTGGAAGTCAGAAGACTGAACTATGGGATTTGCCAGTCTGAAATGATGCAAGACACCCGACTTGATGTCATGTGGGTCGTTGAGCAGAAATCAAGGGACAGTCATGTTTGCTCATTACCACATTATGCTAAATCAGAGCTAGTGTCTAGTTATATTTTATCTCATGAATCAGCCTGGCTCTCTGCACGCATGAATTCTGCTTTTTTGTCTGTAACAACTACCCCTCCTTTGTGAAGTTGGTGACCATGTAAAACCAGAACTTTGTCTTATTCGCTAACACCTAATGTTCCTTGTCCTCAGGGATTGAGAAGGCCTTGTCTCGCCCTGGCCCAGACGTGGTTATTTGTGACGAGGGACACCGGATAAAGAACTGCCATGCCAGCACTTCCCAGGCCCTGAAGAACATCCGCTCGCGCCGGCGGGTGGTGCTGACGGGGTACCCGCTGCAGAACAACCTCATCGAGTACTGGTGCATGGTGGACTTCGTCCGACCCGACTTCCTGGGCTCGCGGCAGGAATTCAGCAACATGTTTGAGCGGCCCATCCTGAACGGGCAGTGTATCGACAGCACCCCGCAGGACGTGCGGCTCATGAGGTACCGCAGCCACGTCCTGCACAGCCTGCTGGAAGGCTTCGTGCAGCGGTGAGTCTGTGAGTTCTTAGTGCTGTGCTCCGTGCAAACACCTCCTTCATCCCAAATTACCTGGCTTGTCTGCTGAGGTTATGTCCTACAATTAAGTCTTGCTGCCTTATAGAATCATGGAATCGTTCAGGTTGGAAAAGACCCGAAGGCCATCAAATCCAAACATTCCCACAGCACTGCCAAGTCCACCACTAAACCATGTTCCCAGGTGCCACATCCACATTTCTGTTAAACGCCTCCAGGATTTAACCACTTCCCTGGGAAACCAATTCCAGGGCTTGAGAACCCTTTCAGTGAAGAAATTTTTCCAAATATCCAATCTAAATCTCCACTGACACAACTTGAGGCCATCTCCTCTCATTCTGTCACTTGTTACCTGGGAGCAGAGCCCAATCTCCACCTGGCTCCAACTCCAGCCTCCTGTCAGGGAGTTGCAGAGAACAAGAACATCCCCTTCATCCTCCTTTTCTCCAGGCTGAGTCCTCCCAGCTCCCTCAGCCACTTCTCATCAGACTTGGGGTCCAGACCCTTCCCCCAGCTCCATTGCCCTTCCCTAGACCCGCTCCAGCCCCTCAATGTCTTTCCTGTAGTGAAGGGCCCAAAACTGAACTCAGGGTTCAAGGCACAGCCTCACCAGTGCCCAGCACAGGGGGATGATCACTGCCCTGGCACTGCTGGGCACACTGTTTCTTACAGCTCAGTTTTGCCTTAGGGTTAGAGGTAAAGCTGTTTTGCTTTGGTACCACAGACTGATATTAGAGAACAGCACCTCTGACTGCACCAGAGTGACCTCGCGTTTATTTTCATGGCTTAATAGTTAATTTGGACATGTACTTTTTGACATCCCCTACCCAAGGATCTGAAAGTGTTTCATGAAAGTGTTATGAAAAGGGACAGTGACTCCGCTGTTCTGGAAACGAATCAGCTTTTCTTCCTCATATGAGGGTTCAAAGATACTGGAGCAGTGACTTGAATGGAATGTCTTAATCATTAGCAGAGCTGAAAATAAACCTTCGGTCTTGTTTCTGGTTTTCAGCTACCTGGAAAACAGGAGTTTCATCACCCTCCTGTGATCTGTGCTAGAAGATTGCAATGTTTGAGATCTCTGTAATTGTGTTTACAGCTGGTATTTGGCTGCAGGGATAGTCTTTTGGAAGTGTCATGCATTAGAGAAACATGCAGTTTAAAGGTTTTTCTCCTTGCAACCAGGTGGGCAAGAAGTCAAAATCTTACCCTACAGGCAGCCATAAAGAGATCATATTGGGAAATTCCCTTCCCTGTATTTATCTCTCTTTTTTATTTCCTCTGCAGGCGAGGCCACAATGTTCTGAAGGTTCAGCTCCCATCTAAGGAAGAACATGTCATTTTGGTACGTCTGTCAAAGATCCAGCGGGCCCTTTACACAGAGTTCATGAACCGGTTCCGAGACGCAGGCAACAGTGGCTGGCTGGGACTGAACCCACTCAAAGCTTTCTGTGTTTGTTGCAAGGTAGGTTCTGGCAGGAGATGCAAAGAAGTATTCTAATATATAAGGCAAAGACAGGAATATGAGACAAAACGGGAAGTGAAAGTGTGGTTGGCCAGGGACATCTTCTCTCCCCAGAGTGCTCTGCCATGGCTCAACAGTATCGTTTACTTCCAGAACTGGGATGCAGGGGTGTTAAACATGCTTTTCAAATTGTGCAAGAAACCTGCAGCCATCAGCTGAACCAGTACTGGGCCGATGCCTTCACCTGCACAGCCTTACCTGCTGCAGTGCCAACAGGCAGCCTCTTCTGCCTTTGTGCTGTGTGGGGTGCGAAGTGGCCTCCTGGTAGTTCTCAGGGAAAGAATTTGTCACTTTTAAAGATATGAGAACCTAGGGGAAGCATTAGTTCTTTCCTATGAATAGCTGCGGGGCTTTCAGACCACAATCATTGGCAAGCAGCAGGCCAGCACAGGTCTAACCACTTTTCTTACCCTTTCAGATCTGGAACCATCCAGATGTGTTGTATGAAGCTCTGCAAAAGGAGAATCTGGCAAACGAGCAGGATTTGGATGTGGATGACCTTGGCACAGCAAGTACTAATTCCCGCTGCCAGCCTCAGGGAATTAAAGTCAAAGCAGAGAGTAATGCTTTGGCATCACCAGTTGGAGAAGCTACTAACAGCAAGTTCCTCCAGAGTGTTGGCTTCAACCCTTTTCAGGAGAGAGCAAATCAGGTCGTAACTTATGAGTGGGTGAGTGCCACTGCTGGAAATCTCTTCATTTGGAGAGTCTGAAAGAGAGTACCTCTTTTTTAGGGCAGTTTTCTGAACTGGAGCAAAGAGAAGGCTCTTCTGTTTGAATTGTGGGTTTCTCTTACGTTTCTTTACCATGGAGCATCTTGATAAGCAGATTTGTGTGGTGCTGGGGGGGGGCGGTTATGACTCTCATGAGGCAGGAGTGCAGGCAGCACTCACACCATTGTTTTCATCTGACCAGAAAGGCTGTGGACTTTGTTATTCAAAAAAAGGTGTTAGGGTGAAGTTTGATCTAGATAATATGGTGGTAAATCTAAAAGGCTAGAAGAAAGCCCTTCAGGTAAAAGAGTCATGAAAGGTTGAGAGGACACTCATTCACCCTAGAAGTTTGTCATTTGGAGCTTCTGGAAGGGGAGTTAGGAGGAGTAGTTGGGAGTAGCATTCTCACCTCTACCAACTGGATGTAAATAACCTCTTTGTGATGACTGATTTCCCTCACCTTGAGACAGGGTTGTTGAACTAAACGGGGAATGAGCAACTCCACCTGTAATAGTCTCCCATTTCTTGGTAGGCCAAAGACATCTTGTGTGATTACCAGACGGGAGTCTTGGAGAACTCGCCCAAGATGGTGTTACTGTTCCACCTAATTGAGGAAAGTGTGAAGCTTGGAGACAAGATCTTGGTCTTCAGGTAAGCAGAGTGTAATAGTTGATCCTGCAGTCACCAAGTACTGGAGTAGCTGGATCCCCTCTGGTGCTAGAAGGTTGTTACACAACAGGGTGAATGGTGTAGCAGTTTCCCTTTTTTTCTTTTTTATATTAGATCTTGCATTTCATCTGTCTGTTTTATACTTCTGCCACAGTCAATTTTACTAATGAGAGGTGTGCTGCATAAACAGGATTTGACAACCATCAGTGCTGTCATGGTTGGGGAAGGGTTCTGATACTCCACTTTTACTGCTGGGGGAGCATTTTCCTGAACAGAGATCTTGGTTTTGCAGCCAGAGCTTGTCCACCTTATCTGTCATTGAAGAGTTTTTGGCCAAGAGGCCGATGCCGAGTCCTCCGGGCTCAGATGGAGGAGTACACAACTGGGTCCGAAACATCAGCTATTACAGTGAGTACAGCAAATCCCCCTCACTTTTGGTGTCACACTGTTTGATCCTCTGTGATGGGCTGATTTCTGAAAGTCACCCTCTGTCTTCTTGTATTTGTCCTTGGGTGTGAAAATGCTCCTCTGAAGCGTTCTCTTGATGAACCTCTTTCAGATTGTTCTTACTTTAGTTGCTTTGGAAGGCAATGTCAGTTGGATAGCAGCTGCCTGATAACTTCCAAATCCTCTTTCTGCCATCTTACTTAGAAGACATTAGACATCTTTAACATCTCACTTACTACTGCTTTTTAAAGTTTCATAAGACACTTTTCGCCTCCTGTTAAGCTATTTGCTAGATTTTGTTTCCAAAACCAGAATCACCTTGGAGCACTTTTCACTAGCTCAGGGCTGTGAATTCCTCCTCCCCTCTTCCCCAGCTTTAAATCTCATTCTGGTATGGGTTGTTGCTTTGTGTGGCTACTTTACAGGCCAGGGCTGAGAGGAGTGGTGCCTGATTTTTGCAGAGCTGCCAGAAGCAATGTGGAACAGAGACATGACACACCCTGCAGCTCCTTTAGACCAATACTCTGTGTGTTCAAATCTAATCTTTGGGGGTTTGCCAAAAACTTTACAATTTTGCTTTCTCTTGGTTCCTGGAGCTTCCAGCATACCCAAGGCCTTTGTTCCTGTTGTTCCTGCTTGCTATCCATCTTGCCTAAAGCACAGCCTTAATGGGCTGCTAGCTGTGTTGTAGCACTCCCAGTCCTGGCCTTGACAAGCTTGAGTAATGTTTTACTTGATCTTTCAGCTGAACAAACCCCAGCCTGGCTGGCTGCACTGCACCTGCCTGGCTGGGCAAATTGGAGGTACAGAGTGGTCCAGTTGAGATCCTGGAGTACATGATTTGAGGGAGACCCAGAATTGGTTTGCAACCGGTTACAAAGCTCAGAGTTTAGAAAGTGGGTTTGTTTCCCCCAAACACACAGAGCTTTTAAGTGTGTCTTTAATTTCCTTCTCAGGACTGGATGGCAGCACCTCTGCCTCAGAAAGGGAACGACTGATTAACCAGTTCAATGATCCCAGCAACAACTCTGTTTGGCTCTTCCTTTTGTCCACACGGTAAGTGGGCTGGAGCAGAAGGGCACAGTGGAGGACTCACACTCATGTTCTGTGTACAGGTGGGCTTTCAGTTCTTAACTTCCTTTGTGATATGCTCTCCATGGCATGATAGTGCCATCTGCTTCTGAGTTCCCTAGGGATGTAGCATTTCAGTCTTAATCCTCTGCAACAGCTTAACAGTCTTGGAAACCAAACTTGGGTTTAAAGTTTGACTGGAGGGAACTTTCCATAGACACTTTGTGGACTCTTGGCTGTGATGGTCATCCCTGCCTAGAAGTTTTGAAAGTTGGTCGAGGCAGCAGTTTGAAATTTGCCTCTCATTTCCAGTGCCGGGTGTCTGGGTGTCAACCTCATTGGAGCAAACAGAGTGGTGGTGTTTGATGCCTCCTGGAACCCGTGCCACGACGCCCAGGCCGTGTGCCGAGTGTACCGCTACGGGCAGAAGAAGCCGTGCCACATCTACAGACTGGTTTCTGATTACACCCTTGAGAAGAAGATCTATGACCGTCAGATCTCCAAGCAGGGCATGTCAGGTAAGCGTGGGTGAACCTGGCATTCCTCTCTCAGCTTTCGCTCCTTTTAGCTCCAACAAGTCCTGTTTCTATGGGTTTTGTAACTTCTTTTTTTAAGGTTGAAAACCAGACAAAGAGGTGACAGGCACTATCCCAGAGCTATGTTTGATGTTTATGAGTTGGCAGTGACATGGGATCCTTTAAGAAATTCATGATGGTAGAGCCAAAATCCTGCAGCAGGGCTGTGTTACCAGTCCAGTGCTGTGTCGTTTACCATCACTGCTACTCTCCTGGCTGCTGCAACAGACTGGAGACTCAGAGGGTACTCATCCTGTGTTCCCCTATCCCTGGTTATTGCTCATCTTAAATTGGGTGTTACATATTAAATATCTCTGTGCCTCCTCCATTTTTCCAGCAGCAAGAGGGGGAAAATGGCTAAATTAAAGCATATATTGATACCTTTGACTCATAGTGCTTACTTAGGAGCCAAGAATAATTAATTCATTGCTGTTCTGACCTCCCCTTGTACCAAAAGTATCTCTTGTGCTGGCTTGTGCCAGCTGTCAAGCTGCTCTCCTGGAGCGTGCGGCTGAGGGTTGTGGTGACCCAAAGAGAGCTCTGCTGCCTGAGTCCTTCTGTGCTCGAAACACAAGTCCAGAGGCAGCAGCCCAGTGTGATCAGCTCAGTGTGCTGTTGTGCACTCAAGGTGGTCCCTTGGCAGCTGACCTGGCTTCCAGGAGAGTCCTGGACAGAGATGTTTTCTCCATGTGCTCCTGTTTGCCCTGTGTGCAGGAGGGATAATGTCCAAGGAAAACATTCAGGCTCTTGTGAGTGAGGGAATGTGGCTGCTTTTCTGAGCTTTTAACTCAGAGTTCTGTTAATTTTGGCACCTGGTTACTAATTTGAGCCTTTTTGGTGGGATTTGTGGGAGAGCACCTACTGATGTGGCTGCAGTTCCCAGGACATGTATGTTTACAGCCTTGTCATGTGAGGTGGGACACTATCCATCACTAGTTTGGTATTCCTGCTTGCCAGGAGCTCAGTGACCTGCACTGCCTTACTGTGCAGTCTGGAGCACAAGGCACTTGTCAGCCTGACTTGGTCAAACAGCCTCAGCTCTGAACATGGGTGATGATTTTTCTCCCTGCCCTGACATTTACAGAACACTTCTGAGGATTGTGCAGATTGTAAGGAGGGGAGCTCTGTCAGAGCAGGGCTGTAGGAAGGGCAGCAGGCAAGCAGTACCCATTTCTCCCCTTTTCCGCTCACTTCATTCCCCCTCGTTTCCAGATCGGGTGGTGGATGATCTGAACCCAGTGCTGAACTTCACCCGACGGGAGGTGGAGAACCTGCTGCATTTTGTGGAGGAGGAATCTGACCCTGCTCAGCTCTCCCTCAATCCAAGCAAGATGAAGGAGTCTGTTCTACAATTAGCCTGTCTCAAGTATCCTCACCTCATCACCAAGGTAAGACCAGCCCGCTTCCTTGCTGGCACAGCACTGCACAGCTGGGAGTAGGCCTGTGGAGTCTGGCAGCGTGATGGGGCCATGGTGGCGAGAAGGATGCACCTGTGTGCTGATGGGAACAGGCAGAAAATCCTCTAGAGAGAGCCCAAAGAACCCCGCCCTTCCCTGTGGTATCTCCTACACATTTACAGATGCCTCTGTCCAGGACAGGTTTGGGGGCAGGTGGTCGGGCACCCCTTTCTTCATCTTGGTGCTGGGTGGGAAAGTGGCAGTGGCATATCCCAGCTTGCTACCAGCTCTTTTCCTGGGATGTCTTTGAACCAAAGCTGGGACAGGCAGCACTTGCCGGTGTTGTCAGGAGTTTCTCTGGTAGGGTAGTATTGCAGAGGGGGCCTGTGGCTGGGTGCTGTGGGGCTCTGGTGGCTGTGTGACATCATGACAGACTCTGTGCTTGCCCTCTTGGCCTGGCCTTTGGCTCCTGGGTTTTGCTGTGTGCTCTTGGTAAGTTCAGGCCTTGACTGGGCAGGCAATGGCTTAGCTGACTGTCACCCTTCAATCTGAGCCTGGCCACATCCACAGCACTGCCCCACGTGTGCTTCACCATGGCCAGCTCTGCCTTCCCAACTGCCCTTCCTGCTCAGCCTGGGATGGAGAGCGGCTGCCGCAGGGAGGGGGTGCCCCCCGTTTGGGGTTTGTTGGTTCCCTCTGGTGGTGCGTTGGTGCCAGAACCGCGGTGCTGTGGGGTTGCAGGAGCCTTTTCAGCATGAGTCACTGCTGATCGACCGGAAGGAGCACAAGCTGACCAAGGCAGAGAAGAAAGCAGCCAAGAAGAGCTATGAGGAGGAAAAGCGAGCATCCGTCCCCTACACCCGGCCGTCCTACGCACAGTATTACCCAGCCAGTGACCAGAGTCTGACGAGCATCCCTGCCTTTAGCCAGAGGAACTGGTGAGTACATGCCTCTTCCCCTTCTTCCCGTGCTGTAGACAAGAAACAAGGGGGCAGAGGATGCTTGTCCCTGTTGGGTGGGCGCTGCACTCTCCTCCCTCCTCTCTCACTAGGCGACCAGCCCTCAAGGGTGAGGACAAGCCCGTGGCGAGCGTCCGCCCAGTTCAGTCCACCCCCATTCCAATGATGCCCCGGCATGTCCCCATGGGCAGTGCAGGATCAACCTCAAGTTCCAGTGCTGCTGTCAACTTCCCCATCAACTATCTACAGCGAGCTGGTGTCTTTGTGCAGAAGATTGTGACCACCACAGGTGAGTTGCTGGTGCTCACAGGGGGTTGAGTTGTGATGCCCGTGGTGAACTGAGCATCAGGGTGAGTTGTTGATGCTCACATGGGCAATGGGCAGATGGCCGTCAGAGTCAAAGATATTGCCTCTCTCATGTGAGTGGTCCCCCTGGGGGACTTTCCCTGCAGTGTGTGCAGTGTGCAAGGGTCTTGGACCTGCTGGGTTGTTAGGAGTGAACTCCCATGAGAGGGCCTTCAGTACTGTCACTAGTTGTCCTTGTTGGGACAGGGGAGATGCTGTGCCAGAGCAGCGTGGCTTTTTCTTCTTGGACCCTCTGCTGCCTTCCTGTGCTGCTCAGAAATAAACCCAGGGCTTGCTTCTAGCACAGCACATAGGAGAGACAACTGGACTGCAAACAAAGGGGTTGGTGGGACACCTGCTGTCCTGTCTGTGGCTGGCTTGTAATTTAATGGACACTGTTCTGTTCCTTCTCTCACTGCCAGATATTGTGATTCCGGGTACAAACACGTCCACTGATGTACAGGCAAGAATCAGTGCTGGTGAGAGCATCCACATCATCCGAGGGACAAAAGGTAAGTTCTCTGTCCTGGTAAGACTTGTTGATAGGGTCCTAGCCAATGCTGAGTAGCAAAGAAAAGGATGTAAAAGCATGAATCAGTCCCTTGAGAGGAAAAGAAACAAGAAGGAGAGGAGGTCTGGAGTTTGCAGTGGCTCTGTTGCAGCCTGTGCTCTGGGTGTGTTGATGCTGCAGGGCTGTTGCAGCTGTGGCTGCTCCTGCCCCTGAGAGGAGCTGTTGAACTTTGTGGCTGGGTGTCTCCTTCTCACAGCACCCTCTGCATGTACTGGGGCAGCCAAACACTTCCTGGGGCTCCCAGAGCAAACTCTGTCTCAAGCATGAAGTTCTACATTTCCCACCAGCAGCACATTGGGAGGGGGTGATCCCCAACGCAGGAAAGCTGCAAAGGTGGAAGTGAGGAGTGAATAAAGGGACAGAAGCCTCTCACTGAGCTTCCCTGCATGATCTGAGCTGGCCTTGTGCAGCACTGCTGCCCTGTTCCTGCCTGAGCAGCCTCGTGGGCTCACAGATCCAGGGTCCTGAGCTGAGACTGGAGTTGTGATGAAGTTGTTCTGCCTCTGTTCCAGGGACGTATATCCGGACCAGCGACGGTCGGATTTTTGCTATACGGACCACTGGGAAGCCGAAGGGCAATGAAGACCGTCAGACAGCTGCCTCAGGTAGGGGCTTGTGAGTGCTGTGTGAGGCTTTCAGATGTGCTTTCCTACTTGAGTGTCTGGGGTGGCTTTCCCTGGTGTATTCCATCACACCTGTGTTTAGAGCAATCTCCCAGTGACCTTTTGGCCCCCAGGTTTTTCTCTGGGGTCTTCTTTCTCACCTGCTCCATCTCTTTGTTTCCAGGCTCCCAGAGCTCCTCCCTGGAGTCCACAAGCAATGGCAGACACAGTGCCTCATCGCCGCAGCTCCCCAGCACGGAGGAGCTCACCCGGCCCATATCCCCCGACAGCCCCGAGATCATCAGCGAGCTGCAGCAGTACGCGGAGGCGGCGGCCGCGCGCGAGTCCCGGCACGGCTCTCCCAGCACCAACGCGGCGCAAGGCCAGGCCGCCCGCACGGACACCGCGCCCGGCGCCGCCGCCCGAGGGGCCGAGCAGCGCGTGGGGGTTCACTGCCTGGCCCCCTCCGTGTCCTCGGCCCTGCCAGCCACCAGCCAGCACGTCGATGCCCACTCGGTGTTGGACTTACGGGGCAACAAGCGCAAGTCGACCTCGCCGTCGGCTCCGGAGGAGCAATCCCGCAGGCAGCAGAAGAAGCGCCAGTTGCCGTCGTCCGTGCAGCCCTACGAACACGGGTACCCCGTCTCTGGTGGGTTCACCATGCCTCCTGTCTCTTTAAACCACAACCTAACCCATCCATTTGCCTCCCAACCAGGAAACTCCTTGTACATGGGCACTGGCTCCTCTTATTACCAGCTGCCCAATTTACTCCCAGACCCTCATCTGGTGTTCCCTGTGACTACTGACCCTCTGCTGACAGCCGGCACCGCCAGCTCTTCTGCTGCTACCTCAGCCACCGCCAGCGTCCCCTCATTCATGCTAAACCCTTCTCTGACAGGGGTGCTGCCCAATTACTCGCTTCCCTTCACGCAGTCACTCCTGCCCGAGCCCAGGATGTTTGCTCCTTTCCCAGCCCCCGTCTTGCCTAGCAGCCTTCCCAGGAGCATGGCATCTGCCTACCCTGGCTACGTGTCCCCTCACTCGGGCTACCCGGCTGGGGGTCTCCTTCGGTCCCAGGTGCCTCAGTTTGAACCCCAGGAGGTCCCAGAGGCGGGATGCAGCTCTAATGACGAGGACAAAGACGACGATGTCATAGAGATCACAGGGAAATAAAAAGGCCCAGCTCCTGCCCGGTCTCAGCTCCGCCAGGAGGCAAAAGTTGCAGGACCTTTTTGGGAGTCAGGATTTCCCCTCTGGGCCATGGCAGTGGGTGGAGAAGGATGCAAAGGGTGTGGTGTGGGGGTGGTTTTGTTCTTTTCATTTTGTTTTGTTGTTTTTTAACTGTCAAGGATAAGAATTGTATTAGGGGCTGGGAGATGGGAGAGGGATAGAGTGGACCTGTGAGGGCCAGGGGAGCAAGAGCCAGGGGAGGAGGGAAGCAGCAATGCAAACCATAGGAGTGCCTCCCCCCATGCTCTGTCTGTCTGTCTGTCTGTGTTCTCTGTCTTGTCTAGCCGCAGAGGCTCCGTGTTGCGAGTCACTGCCCTGCTCAGGCCTGGAGGCGCGGGCTTGACCGCTGGCAGGGCCGAGCTCCCTCTCACATGAACTGCCTTATCTGTGAACTTCTCTCACTGAGAGAGGGGTGGGCCAGGGGGGTGACTCCAGCAGAGGTTGGGGACAAAGTGTTTTTAATGGGGAGGGAGTGGGGAGGCTTCTACATTGTGTTCTACATGTTGGGGCAGGGAGGGGGGGATTGATGTAAAAAAAAAAAAAAAAACCAAAAAAAAAGAAGGAAGATAAAAAAAGATAAAAGAAAATACCCACAAACAGTTTGTCACCCTCTTCAAATTCACATGAGACTAGTGTGAGGGCTCCAGGCAGGCTCCTGCCGTAGTCAGGAGGGCAGGACTCTGGTTGAGGGGCTCCTCCAGGCCTTTCTGGAGGGTCCTGTCCTTCCCAGGGCCCTTCTGGAGGGTCCAGTCCAAGGTAGATTGGCCCTGTGGGTCCAGTGCCAGCTCTGTGTGCCAGGCTAGATGAGTGGAGCAATCCCAGATGTCTTGGTGGGCGTTGAAGGGGAATCCTGGTGACTCCCCCGCTCCGCGGCCCTGCCAGGCTGTGTGAAGGCCACGTCTCACCCTGCTGTGGCCCACCAGATCCAGGGGTAGGTGGGCTCACTGCTGCTTCTCAACAGCACCAGGCAGTGGAGAAGATTGGGAGGGGGACACTGGACCCAGTGCCAGTTGCTGTTGAATCTGTGACTGGAGGGACTTCCCCCTTCACAGAACCTCTACATTAATTTATTTCATGAAGGCGTAATATTTATTGTCTGGGGGAGTCTGTCTTTCTACTTTTAAATTAATTTCCATATTGAAAAAAAAAATAAAAGGCTGGCCACCATCATGCAGTGGTTGCTTGTTGGGTTGTCTGTGTGGGGAGAAGCAGTGGGTTGACTGAAGTGTAGCCTTAGGAGTGGGGCCAGCTATGGAGGTGGCCTGTGGCTGACCTATGTGGCATCAGCTGGATGTGCCCCATCAGGAGCTGCTCTGGGTGCTCAGCAGCCAGAGGGAGGATGGAGTCCTTTCATCATTGGGCAGGTGGGGGAGCACATGTGGGAGCCTCCTATGCTCAGTCCCAGCGAGGAGGAGGGCTGTGAGGTGTGTGGAGCTGGGAAAGCAGAGCTCCTGCTGGGGAAGCACCTTTCCCCACACAGGGAGCAGCGCTCAGCCCAGCCCTGCTAAGCCCCACAAGTGCAGAGGCTGGTCCTGGCCCTGACAGTGAGCTCTCTGCTGCTCACCTCGGGGCCAGGGCTTCTAGGGAGAGCTGGGATACCCAAGTGCAGCTGGACTTGGTGCGTGTGACTGTGTGTGAACGCGTTAGGATGGAGACTTGAAATCCAGGAACCCCTGTGTCACATCTGGGTGTCACCAGGCATGAGCTGTGCTCACCTGTGTGGGATGTCCCTGGAGCCATGGTGGTTTGTGGGGACCTCTGGAAGCTGCACTCACTGCTGTTTGCTGGGACCAACTAGGTGTAGGAAAGGGCAGGATGTCCTGACATCCTCCACTAAAGGGGTGCGGGAAGATGGGGACCTCCCTTCCTGAGAGAGAGAGGGGGGTGTGTGCACACGTGTTATGGAAACATAATAAAAATGTTATGGGGCTTTCCTAGTGTCTTTCTCTGTTTAATGGACATTGTCTGTCAAACATAACCACACCATTCATAGAAGCCTTAGATCAACAGTTTAGCTATGCAAATTATTTTAATTATTTTTTTAAAAGACAAACATTAAAATAGTGCTTTCTTCTTTAACATATCCTAGGAGTTGAAAACCGAGGGGTTCTGAGCAAACTGCTGGACAACTTGTCTTTGGATGCACCATGGAAATAAAAATCAAACCCCCCCACAAAAGTAACAAAGCAAATTAACTGATGGTGTTCATGCAAGTTTCTCCAAAGACTTGACAGTGCTGCATCTGTGAGTCATGCCCTCCTGTGCTCTGTGTGTCCACCTCATGCACAACCCTGTGACACTGATTGTATGACCAGCTTGCCCAGATGTCCGTTGCATCCCTGTGAGGCTGTCAGTTTTCCGGTGGATTTGGGGAATGGACCTAGGCAAGGGCTTTCCTTGTCGAGAGTAGCAAGCATTGAGACCCTGGCGGCGCGTGTGGGAGGCTGGAATGTAAGCAGACCCCCACCAGAGCCCTGCTGCAGCCCCAGTCCTTCCTGGTGGGGGTCAGGGTAGTGGGGCTCATCCAAGGGACCCTCCCACATCTTCTGAATGGGGCCTGTGCTGGGACAAGGGGTGAAGATTTGGCTGGGGGCTGTCAGTGTCGTGGCTCTGGTGGCTACACACCATTTTCTCTGCTCCTTGCCTCTCCAGGAGAGCTCCCAGGGCTTCCCGAGCAGGTCCTGGCACATCTCGATGCTGCCACCCGGTGTCCTCCCGGGGTTCCCCAGCATAGCCCGAGCCCTGTGGCCACAGGAGCTGGGGGTGCCTGGCACTAGGCTGCCATGGGGTGCACACTTTGTGCCCTGTTCTGGTCATTAACATGGCACCAGCGTGAGGTGTGAGGGCTCTCCTGGCTCCTGCACGGCCATGGCAGCTTGGAGACCCCTTGCCACCCTTCCATGGTGCGCTTGCCCCTGGCAAACATCCCCGGCTCCGGGCAGCTGCGGGATCTTCTTGGCCCTGCCCAGCAAGCGCCCGAGTACAGCCCCAGCCCTACCTCTGCCCCACCTACCAGCCACAGGCACCCCCTTAGTGAGGGGACGGGTCCCCTGGACCCTGGCAGAGCCTTGGCTGAGAGGTGGTGGCAGAGATGGCTGTGATGCCCTGGCCACAGCTGGGGGTGGGCTGGGGCTGCTCCAAGGCAACCGGAGGCACCTGCTCTCCCACGGTGCCATGGGAAGGATTTCCTCCACCCCACAGGAGCTGGGGGCGGGGGGGAGTGGGTTATCCAGAGTCTTTCTGAGTCGGGGGAGCTCTCTGAGTCCTAAAACTCCCCTCCCCTGGGACCCCCTCTCCCCCCCATCTGTTCTCCCCGGAGTTTTCTCCTCTCCAGCACATGATTCTACTGCAGAGGGTCCTGTCTTGGTTTTCCTGAGCCTGGAACAGGGGCCTTCCCTGTATGGGTTAAATTTTTCTTTTGCTGATGAATTTCTGTCTCCAAATGACCTGATGGGAAGCAGCTGCCGGTTCTCAGTGGGGCTGTGGGTGACAGTGAGGACAGCAGTGCAGGACTCTCTGCTGAGGGTTTGGACAGTAAGATTCCCGAGCACAGCCCTAAGGCCTGGGCATTGCTGGGGGGAATTGGGAATGTCCAGCTGCCCTCCACGTCAGCATCCAGCCCTTGGCCCTGCCCTGAGGTGGGGGGTTTCCACTCCTGGGAGCAGTCAGGTGAAGGCTGGGTGCCACTGCAGGACCGTGCCATGGGCATGGGGGTGGCTGCTCTGTGCCCTGGCCTTGGGGGGCTTTTTTCCCCCACTGCTGATGAGGATCTTGGGGCATCATAGGGAACTGCAGGGTGAGGGCAACACAGCCCAGGCTGGCCCACGTTGGGTGGAATCTGATGCTCATCATCCTCCCAGAGCACCTGGGAGGGTGATGGGGTGGGTGCAGGTACTCGGAGAAAGCAAATATGCTGGAAAGCAAAGGGTGAGATTTCCACAGGGGCTTCACTAGAAATTACGTGTATTTTGACTTAGTGATGTCAGCAAATCATAGACTCATAGAATGGTTTGGGTTGGAAGGGACTGTAAAGACCATCTCATTCCAACCCCCTGCCATGGGCAGGAACATTTCCCACTATACCAGGTTGCTCCAAGCCCCATCCAGCCTGGCCTTAGACACTTCCAGGGATGGGGCATCCACAACTTCTCTGGGCAACAAATGCAAGTGGCTGAATGCACGAGAATTGCTGCTGGTTTGGGGGCAGCTTCCCGGACAACAGGGACAAGTACAGCGAATACCTTCACAGCTGGTGTTTCTCGCCACTCTGGGATGAATTTTGTTAATCCAGTCTTGGAAGGACCAGGGGGGAGGGCTGGGGCGGGGTTAAATGGGGAACGTAGTCCAGCTAGATTACAGTGAGATGATGGCTCCTCGAAACTCGGAGCAGGCGCTCCCTGCGAAGGGACAACGAGGCGAGTGAGGGAGAGCAACCTCTGCCACCTCCCAGGCCACCACCACTGCCTCGGCTGCTTCGTGGTACCCAGCTTGGAGCTGGCGTCTGGCAAATCCACGGGAGCCTGAAGGAATCCATCACTGAGTCTCATTTGGGGTTTTGTGTTGGTTTGAGTTTCTTTTTTTTTTCTTTTTTACTACCGCCTTAGTTTGTGGCCTGTCTTGTTGTGGTTGGAAAGAGGAGTATTGCTAGCAGGGTGGGTTGGTCGGTTGGCCCCACGCATGATCATGTGCTTCCCTCTTCTCTCTGTCGAACGGGATGTGCTCGCCTGATCTCCCAGAACAGAGACTTTGAACAATTTGTTGTTTATATGATGTATTTATTTTTACTTGTGTTTCATGTCATTTTTTAAAAAATAATAAATTGTAAGTTGGTATAACTGCCTGTTGCTTCTCTCTCTCTCTTTTTTTTTTTTTTTTTAATATAACTGTCAAAATTAAAAAAAAAGAAAGTGGTGTGGTTTGAAGTGGGTTGGAGCTGGGCTGGGCATGGGCATCTCTGCACACCTGGAGCCCAGGCTCAGCCAGCAGCCGTGTCCCGCTGCCTCCAGCAGCATCTGGGCTCCCCTGGCACCTGGGCAGCTGCCCAGGTGAGCCCCCTGCCACTTCCAGAGGGGAGGGAGGCTGGATACACCAGTGGCCATGGCCTGGCTGGGTGCTGCCGGCTGTCAGGGAACCACTGGGAGAGCTGGCTCTTGCCCTTCTCTGTCCTCTGCTCTGTGCTTATTGCTGCTGATAACGATTGTCGTCAGGGACCAGGGGAAAACAAGGAGAATAAATATTCTGCAGGTAAATAAGAGTCTTGGAGAGCAGGTGCAGGCTGTGTGCCCTGGCCCTGGTGCTCCGTGGGGCGCATGGAGAAGCAGCTGGGACTGGCAGGGATTGAGGTAGTAACAGCGAGGCGTTTCTGCACGGCAAGGCGAGAGGTGTCTCAGAGCTGATGCCAAAGAGAAGGGCCCTGGAGAGATCGGGAAGGGAGCTGCGGGCAGCTCTGGCTCCCTCTGCCCGCTCACAGGCGCTGGGGGTGCCTCCGCACCCGGCCGTTCCTGCTGTCCGGGGATGGGTACTTCTGGTGCCAGGCTCTCTGCCGCTGCCTCTCCTGGTGCCGCAGGGCATTGCAATAGGCGTCCAGGCTGGCGCCCGGGGCGCCCAGGGCCCGCGGGAAGCCCTTGTAGCCTGGCTGCAGGTCAGTGCGGGGCCGGGGGCTCTGGTGGGTCCCTCCGAGCTCCCCCTTGCTCCGTCTGTAGGGCGGCAGCTCCATGGCCTCGTGTGCGATGAGGCGGAGGCTGTATCGGCTGAGGGGCCGGGAGAAGGAGCGCTCCACCGCCTGGCACTCGTAGGTGCCCACGTCCTCCCTCGCCAGCTGGCGGATCAGCAGCCCTTGCTCCAGCACCAAGAAATGTCCATTGTTCCTGACCTGGGGCGAAAGCAGAGAACCCGATCAGTCCCTGGCGACCGAGCCACCGCTGCTCCCCGTCCCCACTGCCCCGCGCCCCGCACCTCGCTCGGGCCCGTGTCCTCGCCGTGCCGCACCAGCCACCGGAGCGCCGTCTGCGGGGAGCGCGCCAGGCACTCGAGAAAGGTTGAGTTCTTCTCCACCCCGAAAACCACCTTCTCCACAGCAGCAATCCCTGTGCAGGGGAGGGGACAGGGGAAGGGGTGAGTGCCCTGCGTGGGAGCTGCGTGACAGGTGGGAGGGAGGGCAGTACGGAGCACCCAATGTGAGGTGGGGGCACTGGTTTCCCAGCTCCATCCCCCCCGCCCTCCTGGGCATGGCTGTTCCCTGGCAGAGCTGGCTGCCCACACGGGGGCTTCTTGGAGGGGCTGGGGCTGGTGCTCACCCTCTGCTGTGCCCTGGCACTGGCTGAGGGGGTCAGACTTCAGCACGTCCTGGCAGCGGGCACGCCTGTGGGAGAGCAGACAGGGCTGTGGAGTGGCACTCACTCTGGGCTGTGGGGCCCCTCCGTGGCACAGCAGCCAGGGAGAAGGACCAGAGAGGGCTAAAGCAGGCACAGTAGCAGTAGGGGTTTGGGCTGGTGGATAAAACTCCAAAGCTGGCACTTGCCCATTGCTGCTTCTAACAACATCCCTTTGCAGGGGTACAGCAGGGCTGGCCTGGGTAGACACTCACCTCTTCTCAGTGAGCAGGTGTGGGGCACAGGTCTTGCCATCCCAGGTGCAGTAGGGATCCCTGGCCAGGCAGCAGTCGGTGCAGGTTTTGCCATAGAGCTCACAGCGGTACAGGGAGAGCTGGACCAACCCATGGGTGCTGCTCACAAACAGCTCCTGCTGCTCGGGCAAGAGGAACAGCAGCACTCAGAGCCCGTGGCTGGTGACGAGTGCTGGCAGGGAATAGAGCTCCTGCCCCGTGCTGGGGTGGGGACACTGGGGGACAGCAGGAGTGAGAGACAGAGCCTGCCACCTCCCTAATGCCCTGGCAGAATCCCATTCCCTAAATGTGCAAGCCCTGGGGCCAAGGGACCCAGGCAGAGGGGTTGGGGTCAGTTGCCCTCTGTCCCTGTCCCTGGGCTGCTTTAGGGAGAAGCAGGAGGGAGGACTCACCCGCTTCGGTGATAACTTCATGTCCAGGATGGGAGAAGGCACCTGGAGGTGGAGAACGTGCTGAAGCCATGTCAGTCCCTCCTGGGTGCCCCAACCTGTCAGTGGGGCTGTCCCCGGGGGTGGCAGGATGCCAGGACCCTGGCTCAGGTCCCTGGTCCCAGTTCCTCCTGCTCCCTGCAAGCAACCTGGTCTACCCCCTATCCAGCCATCATCGTCCAGCCCCCGTGGTGCCACCGTGTCCTCCCGTACCTTAGCGACGCTGATCTCCTCCAGGCTGATCACCTCGGTGCCGCGGCTCACCCCGCCGGCCAGCCCCACCTTCAGCACTTTGCCTTCATCTGTGAAGGCAGCGGGAGAAGGAGCCGTCAGGGCTGGGAACCCCTGGGGCAGCGGGACCCATGTGCCACACAGGCTGCCCCGCGGTGACAGCGTCCCCAGAGCTGGGGTGAGCTCCCACCTGTGCCGAGGAAGAGCACGTCGTAGTGCCGGCCCTCCGTCTCCAGCCGGTGCACCAGCAGCCGCCGCAGCCGGTACGGAACATTGACCCTCACCAGCACGGGCTGGCGGCCCTGGGGGTACACGGGCTCCCACATCAGCTGGTGGCTGCGCATGAAGCTGATCACCTCGTCGGGGAAGTCCTTGGTGGACTGCAGGAGGGGGTCGTAGGTCTCGCTGGGGCACTGTGTGACACAGGGGGCTGCATTAGGGCCAGGCCAGCGTGTCCCGCTCCCCTCCCGCGGGTGCTGCCCAGCCTCTTACCGTGCCGGGGCGGGGATAGGGGACGCGGCCCTTGTATTCTACCCAGCGGTAGTCGAATCCCTCCTTGTGTGCAAAGGGGCCACTGAAGGCAGCTCTCACGGCAGCCATGGAGTAAACGCAGACGGCAGAGCCGCTGAACACGCCGCTGTGGGGAAGCACAGGGCTGTCAGTGTCCCGGCTGCTCCACAGGGCCGTCAGTGACCGAGCTGCTCCACGGGGACCAGGCACATGCATGCCCACAGTCCTGAGCCTATGCTGTCCCCTGTCAGCCCTAGAATCATGCACAGCACCCCGGGGGTGACAGAAATCCCTTTGGAATAGCCAGTGCAGCCTGTGGGACTGCTGGCTGTGCTGATGCCAAACCTGTGATTTGGCAAAAGGCTTGTGAACCAGCATCAGGGAAAGCAGAAAGAGGCTGGTGGACCTTCCTCAGCCAGGTGGGTGCTGGTCCTGCCTTTCTCCACCCAGAACTCCCTGTGGAGCAGCACTGGCAAGGGGCTGGGGGGCTGGAGTGCCCCATGCAGGGGCTAAGGACAGTCCTGCTCACCTGGAGACCGTGAAGAGGCCAAAGACAAGGGGGTTCTGGGGCTCCCGGGTGCGCAGGAGAAAAACATCCTCTGCAAAGAGAGGGACTGAGGTGAGGCACCCCAGAGCTAGAGCACCAGTCCAGAGGATGCAGGCAGGAATCCTTGATGCCTGGGAGGGAGCAGCTGTGGCAGGGCAGTGTTGCTCCCAGCTGCAGCCAGGGCTGTGCACTCACCAAGCTGGTCGAAGTGGGTCTTGGTGCCCTGGGGCCCAGGGATGGAGCACACCAGGCGGGCCTTCAGGAATGTGCTCCAGCGGTTGATGAGGCTGTGCTTCCCTCCAACATCATTCTGCCGGCCACCAAGAGCTGGGGTCAGCTCAGCTTCTCTGAGCCTCCCCCAGCACTGTGCCCTCCCTGTTCCCACAGCAGGACACCCCCAACCCTGAGCCTTCTGCCTTGTGGTCAGTGTGCAGTGACACCTTCATGTCTCACTGTTTGAGATGTTCCTTGGTCCAGAGGAGGTAAAAGCCCACCTGGTGGGACGCCCATCCACAGAAAGCTGGCCTTTGGCAACTGACCTTGCAGACCCTGGCCACCCTGGCGTGGATGTGCCGCCGCTCCCACTGCCCAGCTTCCATGGCTGTCTCACGGAAGAAGATGTAGACCTTGTCATCGTGTGGGTTGTAGGTGTCAGGGATGGCATAGGCACCAATGAATGCTGGCTCTGCAGGGGGAAAGAGCAGCACAACGTGGCCCTGTGCCCTCATCCCACCCTGTGGTCCTGCCCTGAAAGCCCCTGGCAGGTGTTGAGGGTACACAGGGCTTGGGTAGACCTGACTACCCTGTACCCCACATATCCCCCTGTTCCTACCGTGTAGCCAGTGGTCTTGGTTCTGCTCCGTGCGGATGTAGCTCTGCTCTGCCCCGTGGACCCAGGTCCGGAAGAAGGCAGCACTGCTGCCCATGAAGTCACTGGAGGTGCCTGAATACAGCTCCCCATCTGCGGGGTCAGGGGGGTGTGAGTGGGAACCAGAGCCTCCCAGTACAGACCATGCCCAGCACTCCCCCTCCCAGCATCGCCCCTGCTCCCTCTCGCTCTTACCGATGAGGAGTCCCGTGAAGGGTTCATGGGGGCTGTACGGGCACCGTCCTCGCCCCGACTCCAAGGAGTGGGGCACCAGCCGCATGGGGGGAGCCCCAGGACCCTGTCAGAGCCAAAGGGGAGATGTCAGCCCAGGGCAACAAGCTGCGATTGTGCGGAAGAGTGGGAAGGAGGCTGGAGTTCTCAGGTCTGTGATGAGAGTGGTCCTTGAGGATGATGCCAGGATCTGGTCCCATGCCATGGGACACACTGGCACTGCCAAGCTGGAGCTGCTCTCGCCTTGTGAATGGCAGGAACTTCACCAGGCTGTTCACCCTCCCCGCGCTCTGGGGCTCCCTCTCCCTTTGCTCCCTGGGAATGGGGATCTCTCAGCACCTTCTGCTATGGGGACTTATCGGTCCAGATGCACCTCACCTTCCCCCTGGCTCCCAGCT